CATAAGTTCGTTCTGTCAAAAGCACCTTCTATGTCTATGGCGTACATTACGCGCTCACGCAGGCGTCAATCACAGCATTAGATGATAGGTTATTCGTCAATCACAACCGTGATTGTTGCAAAACTGACGGCCTGTATGAGCATGTAATGTGCGCCTATGCAGGAACCTAGACATATTACTTTGTTTTGGATGGCCTCTTCAATCTTTGTTATTACGTGATGAAGTGCCGATTCTGTCGATTTGTTAGGCGTACATTACACGCCAGTTTTTATCGATCGTTTTGTTTGTCCTATGTAAGAGAGACCACATTCACAATCTAGCTTGTACACTCCTGCATTTTGTAGAGGAATATTACACTTGATGTTTGGTGAAAATCGATGAATTTTCTTCGGCGGCTTGTAGTATGTTTTAATAGAAGCTTGCTATAAGATGTAGCCCACCTCATCTGTGAATTCTCTGACGTACGGTAGTACAGCAAACAGACCCTCGACTGTGGCCGGCTTCTTTCGGTCATTGCGATGTAGGCGCGAGACCTGAAGCTTGTTGTCTTGCAATACTTGCTTGACGTGCTGAAGCTTGGCAGCCAGATGTTCTCTGTCACAGATTGCTTGTGCTCTCTGTAACAAAGATTTACCCACGGTAGTCAACTGTGAAAGATGAGATTCACCATTTATATATTGGTTGGTATGGGTCTTTTTTCCGTACACACTGTGATCAATAGTGTTATCAGGATTTCGGATGTCTAAAAAATCTACGAAAGCTAAAGAATTTATACTTTGTCAGATGGTAAAATTATGAAAGTGTCGTTCACGTACCGCTTGTAGAGTCTTGGATTTACAGGAACAGTAAGAAGGGCTTTTTCTTCAAAGTCCTCCATGAGTATGTCGGCGAATATGGAGGATATAGGTGAGCCCATCGCCACACCATCCACTTGCTTGTAGAACTCTTCCTACCACAATAGATAGCCAGATGTGAGGCAGTGTTTGAGTAATAGCAGGCCTGTTGTTATCTTCTAGCTTCCTAGTTGATGCCATCTTCAATAGGTGTATAAGCATGTGGATAGTGACTGAACATCAAAACTGACTATAGTTTCATTGCTAACAACAAGATGTAAGATTTTTATCTCACTAACAAAATGTACTGATTCCTACCAAGGATGATACGCGAGGCTATAGAAATAAAAAATATCCTAATTTCAATAGAAAAAATGGATAAGTGCTGTCATCTGCTTAGGATCATATAATTAACAAACTTAAATCCAAACCCAAGCATACCACTGCAAGACCTCAAGATACTGTAAGCTCGTTCTGCGTAGGTTGGACCAAAAATTAATATTCGAAAACTGAAAGTAGACGGACTAACTATATTGGGACGTTAAACATCTCAGTCCCCCCATGACCATGGGTGCTGTAAAGCACCCAAAGCGTCGACAATTAAAAATAAGTTATAATAAGTTTAGTAAACGCGACAAAATCCGGGTTTTAATCAATGTCGAAGTGTTCGCGTAAATTTAAGAAATCATTAGTACCTAATTTTAAATAGTGTACAACTATTATATAAATAAACAATCAACTTACTAACAATTTATCATTTTTTTCCTCGCACGTGAGCATCGTAGTTGATCGTCATCGCATTTTTATAATTAATGTAGTACAGAAAATTAAAATATGGCCGAACCATGTTCTTAAGCAATACAGTGTTAGATTCATCATTCAAATGTTAAGCGTGGTGGAGCACTTAATAAGAATTTGCAAAGATATCAAAATCTATCATCGATTAACAATCAAGATGTAGACGTGCGTTACTACCTCTAAGGACTAAAATGGAATGGAATGCTTCTTATCTGTAAGACGAAACCACAGTTCAGAGAGGTCTTGAAACTGTGACGAAACACAGCATCTTCTATGAGTTCACGCTCGTAGTTCTGTGCGAGCGTGTTTAAGTCCCCGGTCGAGCCGACCCATGTGTCGACTGCAGCCACGATTCTCTACCATACATAAAACTATACCACGTATTGAATTCTTTATCCAATACAATGAATTCATTATTATTGATACTGTAATTTTATTAACTTATGAGATAAATACACTTTATTTAGTAAAACAAAGGTCTCACGATAACCTCTTTCAAGGAATATGTATCTTAATGCAGTCTCTATTCGTAATGAACTGACGATTTCCACGAAGAGAAATATCCGATAAGGTTATAATACTATGGAATTAATTAAATTTATAACCTATATATACCTACTAATAAGAATTCAATATGATCAAATAAGTATATTAGGATAAAATAGTATTAAGTTAGGATGAACTGTTATAATAAAATGAATGCTTTTATTCAAATGAAAAAATATAAAAAGTTTTCTAAAAGACCTTATTTAAAAAAAATTACAAGCAGTTCTATTAACACAACTTAACTCTTTAACCGCTCCTGGTAAGTTTAAAACGCTCGTGTTAGAACTTAGGAGTGGTTCACAACAGTAGTCGAATGTCGGATTCGAACCCACGACCTTTTGAGTTCGCGGTCCGCACCCTGCCATTAGGTTATATGTTGATACAGTTGGTGTTGCCTTAATTTATCACTTATAGAACAAACACTTGGTACAGTTATATTCCGCCATTTAGCACGCAATATTCATCACATTTTTTATATTAAATTACTTAAACATGCACTAGTTTTGGAGTTCGCATGATACATAATCAAAAATATAGTCGATAAGTCAATTTACATAATATAAGTCTAGTTAATTTAGTTATTATGACTCATGTAAAATTTCATTATCTTTCCTCATCTCATGATAGGGTCCTACGCTCTTCTTCTAACAACAAAATTTGTACTCCAGTTCACTTCACCGAGTTCTATGGTAACTCCTTCACAGTTCAGGCTACACGCCTTTGGAACTCCTTGCCCGATGACATCGGAAAAGCTGCCAATATGTACGCTTTTAAAAAGTTCGTCCGTGATCATTTTTATGAAAGACAACGCATTTTACATGACTCATCTATTTAATATGCATTGCCAAACAGACGTATATATTTATAGTCATTTGTGTATACTAATTATGTATGTATTTAAATATGTATACTTGTATGTATACCCATTTATTTATATATTTGTATATATGTAAGGATAGATCATATATGTATAGTTTATTTATTAGTAGTTTGTATGTATTATGTACTTAATTATCATTTGTATTGTGTTTTCTTATTATATATTGCCACACCTACGTCAAATTCTCACCAATCCATGGGTTGACTGGTAGAGAATGCCTCAAGGCATTAAGTCCGCACTTTGTATTCTTTTGTTTAAGGATGCAATAAAGAATAAAATAAATAAATAAATGTAACAGTCAATTATTGAATTTCATATTTATCTTCGAGATATTCTTTCACACTGTAGTATGCCCTATGAACAAGAAATTGCTTCAATGGTATTTTAAAATTATCTATGTTGGAACATCTCAAAATGTTTTATGGTAAATCGTAATAAAATAAGTGGTGTTCATTATTGAATCCTTCAGGGTTGGAAGAGGGAAACTGTAGATAAAGTAGGGAATGGTTCAATATACAATGACGTTACGGCGGTGTAAGGATATCCACTACCACAGTCGACGCGTGGGTGTTGTCTCGCGACAGAGGCAAAAAACCATTTCATGTACAGCAGCATCTCAAACAATAAAAAAAATGCGGTTGGCAAGCCGCCCGCCAAGCGTGGCAACTATAGCAAGTATCCTCAAGGCACAGTATCACAAGGCATGCGAGAGGCATATGTTCAGCACTGAACTTTTTATAGATTGTAACGTTAACGGAGCCGTGGTAGCTCAGATGGTTAACGCTCGCTGTAAATATAACATAACGCGAGTAACCCGGGTTCGATCCCCGCCGGCACCAATGAAATTATTAATTGCAATTTTAAGTGCTGATTTACCACGTGCTCGGCGGTGAAGGAAAACATCGTGAGGAAACCTGCATGTCTGAGAAATAAGAAAAAAATATTTCGAAGACTTGTAAAGTTCGCCAACACGCATTGGGGCGGCATGGCAGACACTTCCTCGCCCTAAAACCCTCTCAGAAATAATAGGAGGCCTATGCCTAGCAGTGGGATGTAATAGGCTGTAAAAAAACGTTAATAGTGAGCAATGACCGCCGACGTTTGACTAAATGTCTGAGCTAGCTGCGATATCGATAATACGTGATAGAATTTGGTAATGGCAGACCTGTCAGTTATATTATAATCTATAATTAAAATTAACAAACAACGCCTACGAGCCTGTTTGGAGCGTGCCTATTTCTGCCCCACAAGTTAACAGTGCATCCACTCTTTTTTTTATAAAATAAGAGTGACAAACGAGCACACAGTCCACCTGATGGTAAGTAGATGCTGTGGTCCATAGACATCTACATTAAACTAAGAATCAAAACGAAGATGCCTTGTCACCCCTGAGGACTAAGATGGAATGCCACATTTTCAGCAAAATAGGATTTCTACACTCACAATACGAAACACAGCAGTATTAAGTTGCTATTTTACGCTGGTATTCTGTGAGAGCGTGGTCCTTCCCCGGTCGAGCCGACCCATTCGTGCTACAAACGTAATATACCTGCAGTGTGGCTCTACAACGTACTTTTATCTTCGATTAAGAATGAAAACGCAGATGTGTTGTCAATCCTGAGGACCAAGATGGAATGCCTCGTTTCTGGTAAAAAAGGGTCCCCGGATCTCTACACTCACCACACGAAACACAGCAGTATTAAGCTGCTATTTTACGCCGGTAATCTGTGAGAGAGTGGTTCTTCCCCGGTCGAGCCAACCCGTTCGTGCTACAACCATAATATAGCTGCAGCGTGGCTCTATCACGTACCAAAAATTCTCTGAAATCTGAAAAAAAAAACTCTGGGCTATAACCGCATTTAACGTCTTTTGTGTGTGACGATACTTTCAGGTAGGCGATTGCAGCTTGTTTATCAGTCTAATATTAAAAAAAATATTTTCAGATCGTACAACAGTTGTTTGGCCTTCATCGCTCTATTAACCAGTCGCATTTCGTGCAAAGAGTTAACGGAGATTGAAGTGTTGTCCTCACATCCGACCCGATGCACATATGAACATGCGTATGACATGTATGGAGCCCACTGTGCCGGTCTTCGACTCACTAAGATACCCTCATTAAGGAGTGGTATAGAGGTATGTTTTTTTATTAATAGGCAATGCCAACGCCCTTATCGCAAATTTTAGTATATTTAAAAATTAATTTCGTAGGAAGTTGTTATTATCCTAGTTGTAGTGTGTAAACTATGATTTTGACTTTCTTTGGAGACCCGATAGGAAAGAAAGGTTCTTGAATGGCAGGATCGTATCGGTAAGCGAAATGTAGGCGACATCCTACGAGGAGTGACGATATGCAAGAGGTGCAGGTGGCTCAGTACTTTTTTGTGCTATTCCTTGGAGAAAGTCTATGTTAAGCAGTGGACTTGTGATGATGATGCTGATGATGATGATAATAATGATCTTTCTAAATGTCTTCATATTTTTAGTCTGCAGTGTACATTTTTGTACTTATTTAGATGGTTACACTGAATCTACATTCACTGAAAACTGCAGACTAATCACATAATTAATATTTGGAAAGACAAACAGTGTGCCATAAAGAAACTCTGATATTGCCCGCGGAGCACCGGATGTACAAAAGGGCTCCTGTTCTTCCGTAGGTCACTCAGGGAGGCCCCGTCTAAGTAAGGGTGCAACTGACTGGGGTTATAGTACAAAATACTTGGTTCTTTCTTGATTATAGAGATTAAATAATAAAAAATATGTAATTTTCAATAGATCCGAATTACGAAGCTTGGACACCATAAATGTAGGATGTAGGGCACGGAAACGGATTCTTAATTAGATGTCATATTCTCCAGTAGTATACGTGGTAGAGACAAGCTGCAGCTATATTATGATTGCAGCCCGAGTGGTTCCGCTCGACCGGGGGTGGGAGGGGGGACCCCCTACACTCTGACAGATTCCGGGCGTAAAATAGCAACTAATGTTGCTGTGTTTCATATGGTGTGTATAGAGATCAGGTAACACTTTTACTAGTAAAGAGCTATTCTATCTTAGATCTCAGGGGTGGCACCGTATTTACTTTTTGTTTTTGAGTCGAGAATAGGAGAATAAATGTAGGTTTATGGGCACTAGCAATCATTTAGCATTAAGTGGACTGTGAGCTCGTTAGACCTTTTGCCATTATTCTTTAAGAAAAAAAACACACAAATGTAATTTTTCTACGAGTTTTTACATATTTAATTTTTTCAGCTGAAGCGTAACAAACGCATCGAGGGACGTCTACTTTTCTTATCAAGATACTCATAGCTATCTAATCTATCCTCATTATACTTCAACGTGTGTTTTAATTGGCTGTATTGTCACTTAATTTTATAATGGTAATGTGTTATAATTACAAAATTATGTACACAGCCTCAAAACCGTTTTAACAAATGAGGTTATAAAATATTTCATGTTTTTAAATGATCCGCGCTTACTCCATTGCCGCGCACATGCCTACTATACTGAAATTGAAAACTGTAATTTTAAGTGTATATTAAGTAGCAAATTCGTTTGTAATTTGGGATAATTTCGGCGTGAGTTTAGCCTCTGAGCCATATCTAAGAATATACAAATTCCCGTCTAGTCCCTTCCACGTATAAATTATAAAAAATCGTCTGTGACAAATAAATTAACGAAACGAGGTAACAGATACAATAATTTAATATTTTTTGACATCCCATCCTAAAGACTTCAGGTTCATAGTAAATTTCGTATTCTATTCCACGTAACCGCCAGGAAATAGGGAAAGACGTCGTAGAAAATACATGCGCTTAACTAAGTCCAGACATGGAATACCACAGTCTCATGATGACAATGATGATGATTAAAAAAATTACTATTTTAAATGACTCCGTAGGTATCTTTAACATTGAGAAGGTTGTTACGAAGGTTCTTAAAAATTGAGAAGAAATCACCGCAATTCTTTTGTAAATCTCTTTTAATAAAAAACAAATGCTGTCCGTCAATTTCGTTTAAACTCAAAAACGACCGATTTTGATGATTTTTTTGTGTTTGAATGGGTGCCTAAATGGTTGAGGTTCACATTTGGGACCGGTAGGTGACGCTGTATAATTTACATAACATTATGCATATTATTTATTTATTATTAGTTGTAGTAATGTACGTGTATGTACAAGTTTGCCGTTTCAATAGGTATATTTTCCTTTATTCGACTACTAGAAGATATTTCAGTAAATTATAGAATAAGTGGATCCTTTGTTCGAACACACTATTATGACTGTTTCTGTACCCATCTTCATGTGTGTACATAAATAAATAAATAAACTATCTGTCATATCATCATCGACCATTTCTAAATCCACTACTGGTTATCATCGATTTTTCAAAGAATGCTCGAGGTGATATGCATTTCTATTGTCTGTGTGCTGTGCCTGTTCTGGTCTGAGAGTCAGTATAATGACAGACTGTGTGGTATTTTTAGTCCTCAGATGTGGCAACGTATCTGTAGCCTTCTTTGTATGAAGTTGGCTGTAGGTGTCCATGCACTGAAGTTACCACTTACCATCAGGTGGACTTTAAGTTCGTTGGTCATTTCAGATTTATAAAAAAACTGCCTATTCTCATCACGCGGATAGATGAGAGTAGGGTTGGCGGTCCAAGGCGTAGCATGAGTTGGTGCCGGCCGCGACCACTAGAGCCAGAAGCTATATTTTAAAAATTAAGCAACTATATTATAATGTACTTTATATATGTATATATACTTATTCCCTGGGCATATGTGTGTATTTATGTGTGTGTGGTGTGTAAATTATCTCTATTTAGATTACAACATTCAATTCAAAATTTAATGAAAATTTTGTAGCGAAGACCTAACTTACATCTCCAAATCTGCCACACGTGGCCATGGACTCACCACTACCTGCTTCGTCACTGGATGCACCTCATTACCATTCTCGATAAAGCATTATTTAAACTTACTAAAGGTCTGTCTGCCGTTACCCTACTTCATCGTTGATGTAGTAAGAAGTTGCTATGATTAGGTCAAATAAAACTTATGGCTTCGGATAGATGGGGGTCATCCACCTGCGTAAAGATCGAGGCAAATTCTTCCTGCAACGGCAATGGCCGATTTCCAGCAGTCAACTTTTAAATTCTGGCCAAGAAGCGAAATCCTCTATTACAATATCTAATGATATCTTATTGAAGTGAAAAAGTGCAATGATTTCTAAATCTCTTCTTTTCAGATTCTCGACTTTAGTGACAATAAATTGCAAGAACTACACGCTGATACTTTTTCATCGTACTCAAGCATAAAATTCCTATATCTGGCTGAAAATCAAATATACATGATCGATAATGATGCGTTTGCAGCTTTAACAGATCTCCAGACTTTAGATTTATCGAAGAATGTTATTCTAGAACTTCCGAATACAATATTCCAGTTGCCATCATTGCGAAAATTATACTTGGGTGGAAATCCTTTACTTCATTTAAGTTTCAAATATTTAACAATCAAAAAACCTATTCAGGCACCACTGGAACTTCTAGACTTGTCTGACTGTAAAATAAACCAATTACCGGATTGGGGTGTCTTACCGCAGCTTATTCTTTACAATATATCAAACAATCCGCTAACAACACTTGATGCCCAACATTTCAGTGCGATGTGCAAATTGGCAAAGGTCGATTTAACTGAATCAATAGATAAAATTAAGATATGCGAATTGAAAATGACCGTTTTGTGGTTTCAAGAAAAGCGTGTTTACTTCCATTTGAGTGATTATACTAAGTTAAATTCGAGAGGTCAGTATTTATTTTTTACTTCAAGTTTGTTTTACTTGTTCAATAACTACAAAGTTTAGTAACTATAGTACGTGTGGGTCATCCGTTTAATATGGTCACTTTCTTATAACCCAAAAACTACAGCTCTGTTTGCATGGATGGCTCAGTGATACGATAGCTCTACATCAGTCAATAAAAAAAATGGTCAAAAGGGCGCTGCTTTATCGACGTCATTTTGCCAGTGATATTATAGTAAATATTTTAGGCGATTTTAATAGTGTGTAGCGTGAATGCGTTGTCACCCCTGAGGACTAAGATGGAATGCCTCGTTTCCAGTAAAAATGCTCTCCGTATTTTTACACTCACCATACGAAACACAGCAGTTTTAAGCTGCTATTTTACGCTGGTATTCTGTGAGAGCGTGGTCCTTCCCCGGTCGAGTCGACCCATTCGTGCTACAACCTTCGATCAATAGTATATAATTGATCGAAGGCTACAACCGTTATATGGCTGCAGCTTGGCTCTATCAGTGTAGTTGTTTTTTTTTTTAAGTTGATTGTTGATCAAAGTATTCCTAATAATTATCAGAGCTTGTTTGCTATTTTTTTCTTAATATAATAGTTATAGTATACGACTTTATGTTTGTGTCTCTGTCCTCCTAGTTTAGGTTTTATAGCGCGGCATAGCTTAAGATGACCATATTACCCTCACGCACCTTACTAATCGGCGCCAATCAGCTAAAATAAGACAATGAAACCAATAAATGCATTCCATGAGAACATACCGATGATAGGTGTGTTAGAAAGAAAGAAAGAAAGAAAGAAAGGTTTATTCTCCAAAATGACGCCATCACAGATAACATAAAAAAACACATAATTTACAAATAATATTGGCTATACAATACAAATTACAATATACTACATATTACAAACTATAAAATACCTATACTAGTATGTGTCAAGGCGTCATCTGGGAACAGGAGCACACTCAGCATAATGCCATGAATTTTTTTTCCATGGCGCTGATTTTCAGTGTGTCCAATCAGTGACTTACCGAAATCAGTGCTATATGTATACTGTTAAAGAAAACTGAGGCCAGTCCGATGTGCATGACCAACCCTCTCCTCCTTCACTATCAGCTCCCACTGTTGAACATAGACTTCTCCCGTTTTACGGAGGATTCACTTTTGGCAGGCAGTTTGACGATCGAATTTTAAGATTGAGATTCCCAAACTTTTGACGCTGCTCGTCGCCAGTCTGAGTAATTATCATCTGATGAATACGAGATGGATAAACAAACATATGTCGAAATCCATAAAAAATTTCAGATATTTCCCATAGACCATTCATAGACAAAATAATGTGATGTGTTCTCTTACGTCACTACCACATGACACAATCACACACTGTTGTGTTACAATGTCCTGAATGGAGACCGATCAAGTTGTTTGTTCACTGCTTTCGCGTCGCTGCTACGCTGCACATCCCGCCGAACTTTCTCAACTAAGGCCTCACTTTTATTACTAATCCTATAGGATTTTTTCTGCATTGCATAATTGCCCATAATCATGTTTTATTCACTGCAATGCCTTTTGACTGCAAGACGATAAAAATGTCTAATGTCTTGACCTGAATGAATCTGCCGCTGAACAACTAAGAGTTTAAAAATTCATTTAGGTGATATGTCGGTTGCTAGTGTAGTAAAACAGTAAGGAAGCTTATTGTGTGATTTGTTAAAAATAAATTAACTGAATAACTTATCATTTTCAGAATTCGAAAACTGTCCTCAACCGGAAATATTGGGAGCGCTAAACGCTAGTTATCATCATTGCAAATCCGTCTATACACAGGTACTTGTTATTGCTATCGTTAATATTAGCATAAATATTAATTATTATACTTTTTTTAATAGGAAAGGAGGCAACGAGCATACGGCTCACCTGATGGTAAGTGATTACCGCCGCCCATGAATACTGCAACACCAGGAGAATTACAGATGCGTTGCCGGCCTTTTAAAAAGGAGTAGGCTCTTTTCTTGAAGGTCTCCAAGTCGTATTGGTCCGGAAAAATCTCTGGTGGTAGTTGATTCCACAAGGAAGTTGTGCGTGGATGAAAACTTCTTTAAAATCGCACGATGGTGGACCGCCAGTCATCCAGATGGTATGGATGGTATCGCGAGTTTTGTCGCGATGTGCAATGGTGAAATTGTGCGGCTGGAATTAGTTTGAACAATTCCTCAGAGCACTTCCCGTGGTAGATGCGATAAAATACGCAAAGAGATGCAACATCTCTTCGCAGTGCCAGTGAGTCAAGCCGATCGGAAAGAGCTCGGTCGCCGACGATTCGAACAGCTCTGCGCTGGATGTGATCAAATGGAAGGAGCTGGTACTGGGGGCCCCAGCCTAGATGGGAACAGTATTCCATGTGCGGCCGAACCTGCGCCTTGTAAAGTTGCGGGCGGTGAGCCGGCATGAAATACTGTTCCGCTCTGCTGAGCACGCCAAGCTTTTTAGAGGCCAATTTGGCCTTCTCTTCCAAGTGACCACGAAACTGCACATCACTCGATATACGACGCAGAGGATTCCGATACTGGCTGAGGCAACAAGGGGAGTGCCTTGAAACTGAGGACATACGACGAAGGGTTTTTTTTAGCGATAAACCCGTAAACTTGTGTCTTCTGGGGATTAAACTGGACAGGATTTTTTGGAAAGTTTCGACTTCAGACACAAGTTTGTCCCGGTAATCAGCGATGTTTTCGCGAGAAATATTGCCACGGCCAGTGTACAAAGCATCACCAGTGCTGTCCTACCCAAAGCATCATCATGTCGTCTACATAGCAATGAATGTTACCGGTTTGAGACATGTCATTGATATGCAGAAGAAACAGCGTTGGTGATAGCACACAGCCTTGTGGAACGCCAGCGTTAATGGGCTTGTATACGTAGCATGCACCGTCTACAGCGACCTTGATGCTCCGATATGCAAGAAAACTGGTGATCCAATTGCATAATTTCTCTAAATCCCATAGGATGGGAGCTTCGAAAGAAGAGCTTTGTGCCAAACCCGATCGAAGGCCTTCACAATGTCCAAACTAACGGCCAACGCCTCCCCCTTGGACTCTACTGCCTCTGCCCATTTATGAGTTAGGTAACCGATAAGATCACCAGCTGAGCGACCGCGACGGAAACCGTACAGCGGTCACTAATCAGCTGGTGATCCTCAAAGTACCGCATAGCTGGCTGTTAATAATGGATTCCATTATTTTAGAGAACAAGGAGGTGATGGCGATAGGCCATTGGAGGATTAGAGCGGTTACCTTTTTTAGGGATCGGGTGCACGAAGGATGTCTTCCATGATTTTGGGACTACGCCGAGAGAGTAGGAGTACCGGAAAAGACGCCTTAAACCCGGTGCCAACTCCGGAGCACACGTCTTCAGCACAATAGAAGGGACGCCATCCGGCCCACACGACTTGTTGACGTCTAGGGAGAGGAGTGCTCTGCGCACTGTGCGTTGAGTAAACAGTACATCCAGCATGGAGCACTCACTCTGTGGGATGGTCGGCGGTGTGTTCCCCCCGTCATCAAGAGTCGAGTTAGACGCAAAGAGAGAGAGCCCAGTAGATCGGCTTTATCCTTTGCGGCATGGGCCAGTGAGTCGTCCTCCTTGTGCAGAGATGGGAGAGATGGTCCGAGGAGCCAAGAGGGGCATCGACGGAGACCTGATATCTATCCGGATGAGAGGTCAGCAGAAGGTCCAACAGGGAAGGTACATGGTTTTCCACATCTGGGATCCGCGTAGGAGAGGTAACCAGTTGTGTCAGACCACATTCCAAAGCAAAGTCATAAACAAATCTACCCGTAGGATCGGTTAAACGAAAAACAAGCCATTCAGCGTGGTGGGCCTTAAAATCACCAAGTATCATGATCTCTGCGGATGAGATACGTTGTAGTACGGAGTCTGTAACCATCTGGATTGGTCAATGAGTCGGTCTGTTTGGGCATTACCGCTATGTGACCTATAGAAGTACCCGTAGACGCGGGGATGGTCGTCGCTGTCTACGCGCAGCCATAAGATGGACAGGTCCATAACTTCAGGCTGCCGAGTGCCTCGAGCAGGTTTAGTCTCGAGCGGAATTTTGACCCCCCCCCCCAGAATACGCGCGTCAGCCTAAGCACCCACGCTCAGGAGTGCTCAGGAGTGGTAATTGAGGATAGATGTATGATTTGTCTATGGGCCACAGCAATCACTTATCATAATACAAGAAGTATTTGTTTTAATCGATTAGGGAGCCCATGTTGTCCAGCCGTGTGCTTTTATTGGCTAATAGAAGGAGAAAAATAAACAAAGGTCGTTTTTATCGTAAAATTGCGCAAAGTTGAACATCTTCGGTGTTTTCTTGGGGAAGACCAAAAACTAAAATTTTACGTTCACATTTCAGGTTCAAAACGTAAAAACGTCGCGACGGACATGGCTCACTATAAGCGGCGGACTGGCCGGTTTTCTCGTCGGATTCGTACTGCTCTTGTATATCATGCATCGACACAACGTCGCACAAACAAAAAGAACAGTGAAACACAAGAAACCATCGACAGTTGGCGATAAGAATGCGACAGCAATCCTTCTCAATGACGTATCATAATACTCTGTTCACTCCGTTGTGTTATCATTTCGCACGGAACTACCTATTTAATGTCTAGGCAAAGGTTCGTCGTTCAAAAACGCGAACGCGATATTTTACTCACTTTTTCTTAATTTTATTTGAAGATATAATAACAAAACACGACCCGGTACAGAAGATAATATATAGATGGTACACTCGGAAACAGTGAGTTTTCTGTATATAAAATCTCATATTCAGAAAAACTTACCTCTTTAATTTACCATGAATTAAGTTCCATAACGGAAAAATTACATTCTTTTACACATAATCGATTACGGATTCCGAGCAATTAAAATCATAATTATAAATTCTCTTGCTTATGGCAAATAAGCCAAATGTAATTCGGTAAAAAAGGATGTTAATTTCGAAAAGGTTTTTTTTTGAGAAACTTATTCCAAAGTTACAACCCAAAGATTTATAACAGAAAAGAACAATGTTATTGGTAAGCGCGGAACTGAGGTGCAACTTGATATTTTTATTCATTCAATCGTAAACCGTATTTCCAGCAGTTACCTTATAGTGATTTAGAATGGATACAGATATTAAATAAACATTTTCTGTTTGTGTTTTATATTTTTAAATTATTTTTAAGGAAAATTAATTGTTAAGACGTTCATATAAAACTATTTAGAGGCTTACAAAGGCTGACTAGACGTACTAATTTCACATTATAATTTATCAATTCACATAAGTACTAAGAAATATTGTTTCACCAAGTAAACATTTTTTTATAGATAGCTTTGTAGGTGTTATGATTGTACAATAAATTGCCAAAGATGTTATATTTAAAATATATGTCTAACTAATGCTTATGGTGTAAAAATTAATATAAAATAAATCATTGTAATTTAAGCTACTGTGATACAGAAAGTAAATTATGATAAAATATCTTGTTTGTTTTTAATATATCAGTAGAAGCAACCCGCAAATTCACATTTGGCAGTTGTTGTCATGCGATGGCGACGTACGATAAATAATCGACCAATTTTAAGAAATGAACTTATAGGACTCTGTCGCACTTACGCGCCTTACGGCAGCCTGTCCTGTTTCCCATTTTATTGCACCGCGGGCAGCGACTCTTTAACATTAGTATACGTATAGTAATGAATTTGACACGGTTGCGGACATGCCCGCGAAGATCAAACCGTGGTCGAATGTCTGATGAAAAACGAAAAAATAAAAAAATGTCTGATGAATGAAAACTCCTAAGTATTTGGCCATCGTTTCTCATGGGATCTGACGGCCGAATATGGTGATCGCACCTAACGATTTTTTCGTATTTAGGTTCGGGCGATTGAGAGAGGAGCCTCTTCGAAAGTATATTGCTACATCTTTCTCAGAATTCACTTGGATTCTCCATAAGCGAAACCATTCGCCTAAGAAGCGATTAGCGGTTTCTAGGAGCATCTTTATAAGAAATTTCTTGTTATAGTGGTCGATGAAAAGTACCGTATCATCTGCGAAGAGAGCGGTATTGACTACTGGGTATTCCGGAATGTTACGCGTGTAGAGTGTAAGGAGGGTGGAGAGGACGGAGTCCTGAGGAACGTTTTACAATTTTCGTGAGCGGGAAAAGCTACTTTATAAGGTGATGGTGTGAGGAGTTTTTGGATCTGAAGCCGAACTGCTCGTCTGGTAGAAGCTAGTTAGCGAAGACGTGTTTACGAAGGCGATTCAACATGATTCGCTCGTAAACTTTCCCCAGTGTGCTGAGGATACTGATGGGTCTGTTAGCTGGAGACTAAGTTGTGTGTTTTCTTTGGGTTCCTATGATGTCCGCCTCTTTCCAAGCGTCCGGGAAAAGCAGCTGGAGACACAAGCGTTGAAAATGCCTACTAGGAGGCAAACAAGTGGCGCTGAGTGATTTCAGCACCCTGTTGCTAAAGCCGTCGTGGCCGAGTGCCGATTTATTTTAGAGGTTTTTGATTACTTCTGTGACTTCATCGACAGTAACAGGATCTAAGGGATCTCCCTCAGATGGTAGTGCAGACTTACGCTCGAATTCCGCTTCGACCTCTGCAAGGTGACCAACATCTATGGGTTCGCTAGCAGGAATGCATTGGCTCTCTAAACTGTCCGCGAGGCATTCGACCTTTTCAGAATCGTTAAAAGCGAGATCGGGATATAGCACTTCGCACTCATTCACGGTGTATTTATACCTCCGCCACAGAATAAATAATAGTACTAC